GCATTTTTTTTTTAAAAATATTTTCTTAACACGTCAACACACTCGTGAATTCCACAATATACGCGATTCCAATTCGAAGTTTACGCCTCGCTACGTTTTACTCGGTTCGTAAAGTCTTGCGTGACGGAGAAATTTGCCAAAACCGAACGAAAAGCGGCGCGGTGCTCGATCTCGGGTTAGGATATCGTTTACGATCGAGTGTCGCGGTATCAATCTCGGAACGGTATTCGGATTGATCTCGGGTGGTTGGAAGAAAACGATCGCGAAGCGCCCGGCACGATGACGCAAGCGTGGCGGGACGCGTACGTCTATCGGAGGGAAAGAAACGGCGGCATAGCGGTAATAATACGGCGGAACGTTCGCACAGATCCGCGAATAGATCCCGTACACATTACGCAAGCGATTGAATGATATTTGCAAGCGTTACGCGTTTAATGGCTCGGCGGCGGCCCGCGTATCCGAGTGTTCCGGCGCAGCCGAACGATCGCGCGTAAACTTTAACGCGCACGAGACCTACCCTTCCTCGCGCCGTCCGTTCTCGACCGTTCCCGTTTTCCGCGGGATAATGCGCCGATTGTTTTCGCTACGGCGCGTGCGTGATTCGCAGTTCGAGATTCTAAGGCCCCCCTCCCTACTCCCTCGCCACCGCGTCCCGTGCTTACCATCCCCGCGCGTTCGTACGAACGGAAATTCTCAACTATAAATCTTGACAAAAGTTCATTTTTTCCTCTTTTCTTTTTACTGCGCTGGCTCCTACGTCCTAGCTCCGCTAATTTATTAGCTCGTATAAGAATAAAATAAAATAATACAATGTTCTGTTAACTGCACGTTTCACGGAGAGCACTAAGCAAAACACGCTTACACACACGCACGAACACACACTTTGGTACACCGTAGTACATGATAAATATTTATAAATCGTTCTGTGCAAGGTGAAATTTTGTTTTTGCATATTACGCTACTGTGTTTGGTGGGGGATAGTTCTACATTTATACTTCTTTTTTTATGTTAATTAGTACACGATGCAATCAAAGAATATCTGTGCTAGCTAAAAAAAATAATAGCCTACTGAAATTTGTCGTGTAATTAGCTTGTAATAATTTTCGTTTTTCAAACATTTATAATTGCTAGTAAAAAAAAAAAAAAAAAAAAAAAAACACAATTTAATATTTTATTCTTTGGAATTAATTTTTAAATTATTTAAATTTTTCTTTTTGAATTGTTTACGTATTTTTACTTTATTTATTATTTGTTGGTTGTGGCGTATAGTTGGCAAAATATATCATACTTTTAATTAAATAAAAAAAAGTTTTATGGAATAGGTCTGACAAATTTATTCACATTTCATTTAAATAAAACACGTTAGATTTATTATTTTTAGATTAATCTGTAAAATGGAAAAAATTCTATGATCCCATATGTATAATTTTTGTCTGGATAGTTAAAATTTTTATACTGAACCAGTTATTGATTAAAATAATAAAATGCATTTATATTCTATTTGATTTATTAAGATTTTCGGACGCTTTTAAATATTAAAATCTAAATAATTTATTTGAACAATATCATAATGTCATAATGTATTGCTATGAACAGATATGTCTTTCAATGGCCGCTCAGCTATTCGTTTATATGTAAAATTTTTGTATTATTATAGGATTGATTTTTTTTTTTTTTTTGCAAATTTACTGAAAATATTGCAAATAAAAAATAACAAAGGCGTATATAAGAAAAATGTCCAATCGTATATTATTATAATCTCACATTGCTATGCAGTGTGCAATTTATTATAACAGAAAAGGATCAGATAGGAATACCACTGCTGTGAAAGCAATTACTTTAGCATGACGAGCAGAATCTAAATTACAGAATTATAATTCAATTTCGAAAATCATCATATTATATAGTATAGCATTGAGAAACTTTAACAAGTACATTCACTCTCAGTGTTTTGAAAAATTCATGTTTTCCTTATCGACGACAGGATGTTACATTATCGTAGATACACAAAGATTTTAAGTTTTATCCGCTCCGAAATCGATTCGGATAACTTCGATAAAACGTGATTACAAAAATTATAAAAAAATAATAAAGCTAAAGGTATAACTGAGATAGGTCAATTGATTTGGTATTCGGTCAGTTTAATTTTTTTTTTACCACTGCACGTAGTATTCGCCTTTATCACGTTTTATTTTTTAGTGTGCATTCGTAAACCTTAAGAAACTTTTTTTCAACTCGTAATAAATTTTTGTGTATACTTATTAAAAACTTTTATTTTCTACTTTCAAGTTTTCATTTCAGATATCTCTCTATTTGGTACTGCCCTAAAGAAGTCATAAAAGTAATGGTATTTTTATCTATTGTTCAGAAGAAGAAAAAAAGCACACAATTTTTTTATTTTCATTTTAGTATAAACTTTAAATTCTAAACGTTTTCTATTTTTCCCTTATTTTTCTAAAGGTTTGTTATTATTTTTTGGCACCCGTCCACTCTGGTGGTGATCAATTTCATAGGAGTTTTTATGATTTATCGGACGTGGCCCATGTACATGTGTATTGTTAAACACAGTTGAATAATATAATTTCAACTGCGACGAATAATATTCTATGTGTCAATGTACTAACAACTACTGTACAACCGAATGGAAAACACGGTAAACGTGAAATTTTGTCCGAACCGTCAAACTTTGTGCATAAAATCGGTCAGATAAGGGTTGTGGGGTTACGCCCGTACATGTTATAACGTTATTCTGTTAGTGTACTATATCGTTACATTTGTTTTGCACTTCTTTTTTTGACATTATTTTACCGGTTAAATATTTATATTTCTTTGGTTATACCCGTTGTCCCAGGTTCGGACCACGTCCATGTGTATAGAATTTTGGGGTATGCGCTTCAAGAGCGAAATCCATTTTCACCGATGTCTCCTCCTGTTTTTTTGTATTTTTATTTCACGTATCACGACCTGTAATATACCGCTCGCTCGACGTGTTGTGCACTACGTTTGCACACAGCTTATTAACAATATCTTAATTTATTTTAACACAATAGTTAGATATCATCAGTTTTGAGTTCGGTTTTAATTTTCCATTTCCCGTATTATGCGATAATGACGACAACGTCCGTCGCGTGTCGTGCACACAGAAACACCTATCGGATACACATTTATAGGGTCGAAGATAATTCATCCTTCTCTACTCCCTCCGAAATTGGACGAATTACATAAAGTGAAACGCCATCGACCTTTCGTGAATTCCATACAAATTAAGACGTATATTTTATAGTTATTATTATTGCATTAAATATATATATATATAATGTGTTCTTATGTGCTGTGATTTTGATAAGTTAACTTGAATAAATAGAATGACCTTATAAGGACGAAAACAATGTTTATACTCTCTAGGATGTTTTTCTGTATCATTACTATTACAACTGAATGGTGACCACAAAGAAAAGACAAACGCATGGGGAATTTTAAAATTCTGATCATTTATAATATGCTCGAAAAAAATGTTTATATAATATAATACATCACGCATTCTAGAAATAATGTCCAGTGGAGTAGAAAACCGGTGGGACCCAAATAGCGTTATCTAGTCAAATTTGGTACAAAAGAAGATGTGCAATGAAAAATACAAGAAAAATGACTAAAATAAAAGATGATGGTATAATATTATATATGTAAACAGTGTACATGCAGCGCGAGCGTGACTCGTTTACGAAAGGAATAAATAACGTCGAAAATACAAACCAAATGCTTACGCAAAATGAGAGCAAATTTGGAATTAGGTCAATGTATCTGTAGTTATATTTATTACAGTGATTTTTCTAGTAACCGTGGTCAAGACAGATTAAAAACATATCTACGTGAGTAAAAAAATTATCCTATATTATTATTTTTAGATAATGCGGATAACGATATTATTATAATCCTTTTTGACAACAATAACTGCAATTGTATAATATTATTTTTATCTCTAAAGCATTTATCACAAATTAATGACAATTTGTTATAATTTGTTTTCAGTGCGTCTTTAATATCATTTTAATTAAGATTCATCTAAATATAATTACAAAATTATACTAATTTTCATGTCAAAATACGGATTACTTATAATTTTTCATAAAAATATTTGTAGAACTCGATAGAATCGGTCATCATTTTAGCCAAATTAAAAACGATATGCTATTTTTATCATAAATATTTATTATGTGTGTCTAATATTATTATCTCATAGTAGTTTCATCTTAAAATGAATTTTATAAATATAACGTCCAGAGATGCATTTGACAGATAATACGGACGATACAGTTTAAAATAATACATTACAATAAGTTCACGATAATTCGAAGTTGTATGGGGATAAAAAATCGCTTCGACATACCTAATTTGGTTTAGTCAATGTTACGTACAAACTTCGAGTCTATGATGAAAAACTATTTTAAAATATTCATTAGTTATGTAAGTGTAATAATATTGCATTTTAAATGAATTACGATAAAAACTATGATAAGTTGTTAAATAAATACATAAATATAAAAAAATAAGAAAAACCTAAAAGATCCAATAGTATATAAAAATTTAAATAATAGTATTATTTATTATATAAGCAGTAAAATAATTGGTTATAAATTCTGATGATTCGGCTATTTATGATAAAAATATTCTAATAATTTTCAACTTTATCGCCTTGCATTTGTTTTTGAATATCAGCCTTATTTTTCAAAAGTGTCGACAGAATATTTGTTGGAATATTAAATTGTCAAATTAAATTTTGTCAGCTATAGTTAAGTGATTTCGATCGGTCCGATAGGAAACGGTTGATCGGCGAACGAAGTACAGGTGATCGCGCGTCTGGTGAGTTTTGGTTTTCGCGCGGACCTAATCTTTCGTCCGGCAACCTGTCACACGGTACTGGAACAACTAATACGTCGAAAGGGGTAAAAACGGGCTGCAATGAAAATGATTATCGAAAAATAAAAACGCCTTTCGTTTACCTCCGGTGGAACACAGATTGGTCATCGGGCCTCCGTTCTCCGGCCGCTTTTTGATCTTCCTCGTCCGGTCGTCCTGCTGGTGCTGCAAGTCCTCCGCGTCCCCCGCCCCGGAACCGGACGTGCGCCTGCTGCTACCACCGCTCCGCCTGCCGCCCCAACCGGTCGACTTGTTGTAGTAGATGACCGCGAAGATCATGATGTTCAGGAACAGTAGCGAACACCCGATGCCTATGGCCACGGCCAGTGCTAGCGGGAAGGACGCGTAACCGGCGCCGGCCGCACCGACGTCGTCCTGTCCGTCGGCCGACGACGGCGACCGGCCACCGCCGCCACCATCACCGCCGTCCTTGTCGTCCGCGTCCTTGAACTGTCGTCCGCTTTCGTCGCCGTCTCCGTCGCCCCGGTCGGACGACGACGACGACGCCACCACGACCGGCGGCGGCTGCAGCACGTTCGTTCCGTTCAAACTACCACCGCCGTCCGCGGACTTGTTGCCGGTCGGTGATTGTTGCCCGACGGCCGGCTGTTGTCCGCCGCGGTAGTAAACGTCCGCCGACGGTTTGGTCGTCCTCTCCGAGCCCTGCGAACAACGTCAGATATAATATTCTCACACCAAGTACGTCCGGTCGCAACGGGCCCGTGGTTATGGCGGGAATAGGTTGAGATAACGAGGTGGGTCCGGGACTTTGAAACGTTCACGCGCATAAGGTAATACGTCAACCGGCTTGAACCATGAACAGATTTTTAATTGTTTTCGTGTTTTATGTTTTACTCGTTTTGAACCGTGGTTGGTCCGGCTAGAAAGTCCCAAAAATCCGATGGGGTTGATCGTTCGAAAGAATGATTCGTACTACGAACAGGGACACGCTAATCCCCTGTGGTTTTTAAAATTGTTTATCGTTTCATTGCAAAATATTTGATTAAGAGTTTGAAAATAGGTTTACTATAAAACTATATTATCCGTCCATTTGATTTATACTACCTATTTTTCTTTTATAAATTGATTTTTTTGTTTTATAAAATGTTCACAAAATATGAAAATCAACGCACTTAAAATATTTGTGAAGTAAAATTTAATTTTAAATCATAAAATACGTCCCATGATATTAACTCAACCGGTTTCATATGAAATTGTTTAATTTGATGAATCGAACTACAGTTATTAATTCTTTATTTTTTTTTTTTTTTTTATATTAAACATCACATCCAAAAACCACAGGAAATTTTTTAATATTTTTATATTGTTTCAGTGTTTTCGTATATAATTTGTAATTTTAATCTAATTTTCATCTTTTATAATTACAGGTGCGTTGGATGTGAAAATTAATATTTATGGGAAAACGCAATTCCACTACCCGAAAGAATAGACAATATTTTTTTGCTACGTAAAGGACGTTACGTGTAGGTCGAATGCACGCAGTATCAAGTGATTGGGTAGATTTATTTATAAAAAGTAATTATATTCAAATAACTATACTCCTAAGTCTAGTCTGTATATCATTTAATAAGTTTATTCTGTTAGTTTTCCTGTGCAATGTTTGCACTTTCATTTATTTTCTTATTATTCGCTCAAAGTACGTAAGCATTTAATAAGTCGATGTTGCAATCTATTCAAATCACGTTTCAATTAATGTAAATTATGTTTATAGTTTTTTCATCCAGTTCATATTATCAACTCTGTGCAACATCTTACGTTTATTTTAGCGTCTACGAAATTCGTGAATCTTGAGCTCGTCGAAAATAAATGTCATAGGCAAGTGGGATAACGCGCAAAGATAGACTGAGGGAGTGCTTTCATTAAGAACCATACATATTTAACAAGCTGCTTATAATCACGATATTAACGCATCAGTATAACTATATTATAGAAATAAAAAAATGTTATAAAGTCATTGTAAAATGTTATAAATCGCTATAAAGTACTTAGATCGGATAATTAAATAATTATTTCACATCTTGAAAATAGGAAGACCAGTTTTTTTTTTGATTTTGTATAAAACGTTTTAGAAAATATTTGACATAACGTGTTAGGAATTTCTAGTTTCATTAGAAACTTTTCATAAAGTCTTATTACACTTCTTAATCATCGACTGCCTGTTTTTTGTTCAAAATCTATCAACTCGAATTCACAAATAAGTAGTCTGATTATAATTGAATTCTATAATTTGTTTTATCTGACGCGCATGGATGAATTCAGTTTCACGAAAAAAGGTTAAACGAAAAGAAACAGAAAACAGGAATGCACTAGATGAAACATTAATTTTAAAAACTTAAATTTAAATTTATATTTATTATATTAACGTAATAAACAAAGCACGAGGTTAAATTTAGTTAAACCGTCGCAAACGTACTTACTTAATTATGTCCGTTATAAATGATTATGTGGTCATACTATTTTTTAAAACATTTTTATTTATTTTTTTTTTTTTGCTCTCGAAACATTATGTTTCAGTATATTGAATTATCTCCGTGAAAAATGATCGGTGTACACTTGTTAAGAACGAGAAAAATTCGTTTTTATTATTCTATTATACTATATCAGTTGAATATTTTGTTCGAATGGGTTGGTAATTGAAGTTTGAAACGAAATTAATTCGCATTGCCATTAATAATCACGACCCGCACGATTTATGAATGTTAATGATTATTTATGGTATTTAGTTTATTAACTATAGTATATTTCGGGAAATACTTCTGGGTCTTTATTCGAAAGTAAGTTCACTTAACCCTAAGATAATGTATATAGCATTGAAGCTTACGAAACTAACTTTCACAATTCAGTCGTTGCAAACATTTCTAAACAAACATAATTTACGACAAGTGTATAAACCTTCTGTAGGAATTCTTATTATTTATAGTGAATACTTATACACACACCACACATACATACCTATTACATAAATTTGCATATATTTATTTATGTAATAATATGTATGCACGTGTAAAAGCGGTAGCTTTGGGACCGTCCAGAGTTTGTATTAAATTAAAGGTCACAAAATTCTAAAAATTTACGAACTCTATGATTTGTAGTGAATATTTTAGAGTCACTTAGTTCTTCGTCAATATTAGTTTTGCATAGGTCACGGAGATAATAATATTATTTCATATCGAACACGGTTCACTTTTTTACGAATGTTTCGTGCATGCATGTATGGTTGACCAGCTATATCGACTGACAGAATAACAAGTAAGCTAAACGATATTTTATACAACGCCGTACAACTTACAGTTAAAGCATTCTGACACACAAGCGCTAGTGCTCCTTTGATAATTTAATATCGAGATGTTTAATTTATAAACTCAAGTGACATTAATGATAATAATGTTCACCAAAAGACAAACCTATAGCGTTTGGTCCCTGCTTATATGTTTCATGTAACACTTTAATCTTTTTTTTTTTTTTTTTCAATACGAAATACAATTGATATGACGATACGTATAATTGTAATTTTTATTTTCAAAAAATATTGTCGCAGTATTACGATACTATTCTTAACAATTATGACATTTAGAAGATTGTGAACGTTTTAGAACGTCAATTAACGGTTTTATATTGGAATTAATATCCTAAAAAAAATATTTAAGGAATATTTTCAAAATAACACTAATAATAATAATAATAATAATAATAATATGCTTGATTATTTGGTTGAAACTAAAGAAGCATATGATGATAAAAATGAACTAAATCAATTTTAAGAAGAAGAAGTTGAAGATGTTTTCAAGAAATATCTCTGAAATTATTTATAATATTATTTAAGTAAAATGTCATCGTTAAGTCTGAAATAGTTGCCAATCGTTTTAATTTAATAACATTTACTTAAATTTTGATTTATTATCAATGGTTGTTTTTGTTAGTATAGTTATGTATAACAATTACAATACTAATATTTTTCTTTGAAGTAACAAATTATTATTTTCAATAATCTTCTTAACAAATTAAAAACCCTCCTTCTGTTGTATTTATGACAGTATCAGTGTTAAGTTTAATTTATTTAAAATCTTTGCAAGTGAAATTAATTAGGTATAACATATATCCTAAGTAATTAACAAAAACGTTTTACAATTGATTAAATTTTAAGTAAAAATCGACGTACTAATGTAAACAATTTCAGACTTAATAATACGAGTATTTTATAATATTATTGTTGTAGGATTTTTTCTTGGCTTTTCTTGTTTCGTTTTCCTCGGTTTGCCTGGTATATTGCCATCGTTATTTTTATTTTCTTCAATAAAATAATCAAGTTGAGTATATAATTATCATTAATGTGCGTTTAAAAATATTCCTAAAATATTTTTTATGGTTTTATTCACAATATTAAACGATTCGTATAATGTAATTGACCAAATTTTCTCAGAATAGTATAACATTGTGACAAAAGTATATGTACCGATTATTTTTGCATCAAATCAATTTCATATTGTCAACATTAGAAAAGGTGATAAATGATAAAAGTACAGAATAAACGCTATGTATTTGTTGCTTGGTCATCACAATTCTCATTAGAATAGGTTATACAGAAATGTATAATTAAATATCTCACTACTAAATGATCAAAAATGCGATTAAATACTTTATCTGATGGCTGATATGTTATATATAACACGTAGCTTAGCTCCGAAATTTCACTTAACTCCTTTTGTCTTTACCAGTCAAACTATACATAAACTATATCGAAATATATACGCGAACTAGTACCAAATAGTTACAATAATAATAATAATAATATTTACTAAATTGTCTTAGAAGTATGTATGCCAATATTATAACTTATGAACGTTAATATAGAATCCATCGTGGAGAAAATCAGAAATCGATTAATACATGTGCAACATAAAATATTTGTAATAATAATAATAATTGAAAGGGAATAAGGTATAGAATTTGAAGATCCGGTGATCTGTTTATAATGTACGTAAATATTTGTGTGAAATATAAATATATAAAAAAACGCGCATATACGTTTTACTAAATGCTCGAAACCGAATTGGCCCACAAAGTGTAACTATTATTCGCAGCCTCGGGCATTAATCAATACTCCGTTCTATGGGTGTGTTCTGAAGATAAACTGACGAAAAGAATATCGAGGAGAAAAGCATGAAAAAAAAAAAAAGATTAAAAAAAAAAAATAACCAAAAGTACCGAACTCGCAGAATTACGCGGTGTAACGTCTATTGGCATATAATTGACTTGTTTTCGTCACACGTCACACGGTCCTTCCGCCCATTCTTATCCTACCCAACACCGCAGCCTCCAATTTGAACCGTTTTACTCAGAAGAAATAACATATACGTTAACCGACTGCAGAGGAGATGAGGAAACGTGCCTCGGGATTCTTTTACGGCAATCACGGAGCGTGGGCAGAAAATAAAAATGAAGAATTGAATCGCGGAAGAAAAAGTACAATTACGAGAATGAAAATTTACTGAGTAAACATCGAAATATTTATTTATTTATTCATACATATATATTATTTTCATCATTTATTATTATTACTATTTGTTTAGGTATTATATATATATATATATAAAAATAATAACTTTTAAAATTTCGAATTATCTTGGGCAGTGAAAAAAAAAAGAATCTGATTATACGTTTTCGTAATAAAGATAATACGTATCGAACCACTTAACTACTTACTTATACTGCACGAGTACAGTACAACGCAGTGCAATACGGTATAACTTATACCGCGCTTACGGTTAATTATCCCGTGTTATACAATGTTACGCATAATAATGGCGTTGGGTTATTGTTGCATAAAAGCGTTTGAATAGCAAATGTACGTACGGGCTTAAACGTCATCCCACGCAGATCGGATTGGAACATGTGATGCGAATACGGTACTTCGTCCCCGGGCTTGTGCAGCTCCGGCACGAGGTTCAGCCAAAACGACAGTCTGTGCGCTCTGTAATGGCTTTTCAATTTGGGTTTCGTATCTGAAAATTATGCACATTATTGTATTCGATTCGTCACGGTTTTATTGATGTAACTGTTGTACAACAATTGTCGTGCTTTAAGTGCGTTTACGGCGTTACGATACATTTAAAGCCGATCGTTGTTGTGACAAGCAATACTGTTACCAATATTAATGTATACTTTCGACGCGTACCTAAGCTCAGATATTTCTTGTGAACCGTTTCGTACGCAGTCCATTCGATGTTCTTGAACCGGCCGTGTTCTTGTTTGTGCAACATATCCTGGTCCTGTGGCTCGTTCGGATTACTGCAAATCATAAAAAAAAAAGTATTATTTTAATACTAGCTCGCGCGCGCTGACGGACGGTTTTGCATTCGCGTTTATTCATTTTCGCACAGTCCACCACATCACACAGCGCGTATTCCTACACTTAGTTGGTTCTGGTCACTTAACTCTTACCACGTTACATAAACAATCGATTCAGTTAAAATCGTAACCAACGCTTTTAGAGTGAACGCTATCTGAAATATCTCTGATGTATGATAATTTGTATTGCCGTCGGAACGAAAAGGGGTGTTGGACCTACCCCGTTCTCTATGATAGATGTGTATATACGTCACGCGAAACGTTTCCACGCGTTTGGTCGGGCGTTCACAGAGAGGATGAAATAGTCAGTCGTTTGTGAAGATCCATCCGATTAAATGCGGCGGCATACCTACTCGCGGAAATGTCGATTTAGATTCGACAAACGGATTCCGCATCGACTGTACGCATTCTGGCGAAAATTACGTACGATTCGAATCCATCCCGTCGACGCGAACGATGATGTACACCGAGTACGGAGATAAACACGCGACCTTTGAAATCCTCTCGTGTATCTTTGACGTCCTTTCCATTCCGTTTCCAACGAAATCAAATATCATAACTCGTTATTTCGACCGTACGACGACAACAACAACAATTATAATAATAATGATCGTACGCCATAAAAATAGAAATAAAAATTGCATAAAACATTCGGTGTAGTGTTACGGGGCGGAAGCTCCTAGTCAGCGAAATATTGTGTGATAGGCGACCGCTGTACACCACGCCTACAACGCGTACCGAGTAAATGATGTGTTGGAATTGTGATTAATGTTCAGTAGTGTCGGGAAGAGAGGAGAGGGTTGTTCGGGGAAGGGATGTTTCTTATTATATGATATTTGCTGAACTGGTGTCTTTCTGTCCCGTACCCACGCACGTAAGGTGCGAAGAACGGTGAAGTTACGAAAACGAAAAACAAACTCGCTTTCGGCGTACAGCGGTGATGTATTGTTCCTCGGTGGCGGATCCAATTCAATCGTCGTGGGTGGGGGGGGCACTAGACGATACTGCGTTAGAGGCGTCGTAGAGCACATACGATCGATGGTGATATGGAATAGTGGTACGAATAAATGAAAAATACCTATAAACCGTTCGGCCGACGACTGGCATTAAATTGTTTTACGAGCCGCAGATCGACGCGATGTGACCTACTTGTCGGATGGTAATCGGTGGCGAAACAAAACAAACTCAGCAATAAGCGTAACAATAATAAAAATGGTATCGATAAAACGAAAAAAAAAAGGTTCTGAACTGTTGGGCTACGATCCGTCTCCGAATCGATTGGTCTTAACCTATGCTAATGAAATGGCGTAAAAGTTATAATATTACCCCGTGCGGGCAAAATTGCTCCAGTAAATAACCGCCGCCTCGGACAGCAGCACTTCTGACTTGGTGTAGTTCCTCGGGAAATGCATCAATCCTCCCACCAGCGGAGCGCCGAAAATGTACGGCAGTTCTTCGCCGTGGATACATCCCTGTCTCTGAAAAACAAAAACCGGACGGATTACTGTCGTTTGTTCGTTTCGATTCACGTGCGACCGTCCCTACAGTGAGCTCACGAGACCAAATGCGGTTCGCGAGGATCACCGGTTGATGTCCATTGTACCATATTCACCAATGACGATTGACGATATTTTATAATAATAATTAATATATCAATATATCATAATGCTTGGTTTTTTAAAATAGTTTAGTCTCAAAGGGGAGCTAATTTCCTCTTAGACATCCTCTTAAATCCACCTCTGTTCGCGATGCGTTCCTCACCGTCTCGGGATATTGAATTTCGGCACAGGAAATCGGCTACGAACATCCGAAGCATTTCGCTGACCGCACGCGTGCGACACACAGACCGCGCTTTCGACACGGCTCGACGACCGTTTCGAGAAGGAAATAAAGAATTTCACAACGTAATCGCACGGACGTGTGTTCGGGTTCTTTTTAAACGTACAACGTATTGTTTTACTCGTCCATATTAAATACTATTTGTATACGTCAGGCGATGCACCATGTGTACGAATATATTCGCCGCCCCGAGGGGAATACTGTTATTTTTCATTTCAGGCGCGCGTGCAATTCCATCTAGACCTACGATTCTTCTCTCTCTGTATCCTCATCACCCCATCACTTTCGCACTATCTCGTTCTTTCTATCTGCGTCCGTTATTTCTTTGATTTCCACGTCAAAGACGAGAAAAGGAAACAACCCTCATAGTACCGATATGCACTCGTGATTTTGTAGTCCGGTAAAGCGTTAGAGCGGTAGTAATAATATCGCATAATATTTTAACAATTACCTTATTTTGTATGTGGATAATATTTACCCGTCAACAGTGTACGCTTATGGTCATATTGTCAAAACGCAATGTTACGGCATTTATGCGGGATTAATATGTTCAAACTTTAAATCCAAAAATCGAACACGAACAAAATACAAACTTTTCAATCCAAAATACTCCGAATAATCACAAATACAACATTATATGATTTTAATCACATCCGTCACACAGATTAAAAATTAACACAATAGAAGAAACTGCCAAAATCCGGATTAACGATTCCTCTTCTGGCAGACAAATCACTCAAATCTATTAATATCAGCTCAAAGTCCAATCGTCATTTCTACTAATCCTCTTCTTAGACTGAAGAAAAATCGCTGTAGAGATTTAAATTTTAACTAACCAAATATGAATAGGAGAAAAGTGAAAAAATAAATAAATCAAATTTAATCTTATCATTCTGTAAAGTGTCACCATTAGTTGGCTGTTTTTATTCACGTGCACAAATATGATGAAATATATTCCACATGCATATTTGTTGAGATAACCAATGTGATATTTTATGATTTATTCATAAGAGAAGAAAAATAAAAAAAAATTAATTCGAAAAAAATTTGAATTACATTAATCTATCAAGTTTTTTTTTTTTTTTAATAAACTCGGTGAAACTTTTTAGAACGCCAAAAATTTACATATGTAATTTATACACTTGAGCTATAAAAATAACGTGCTCTACGGAGATTTTTTTTTTGTAAGACATAGTTTGTTTTAGCAGATAAACATTAATCATAAATTAAAATTGCGTTTTTAAAAGTTATTGTAATTCGTTGCCATGAAATAATACGCACATTATTGTAACTTTTCTTAAAACAATTTCGTAAAAAATAAGCTAATTTAAAAATAGTAAAACACGTTTTATTATAAACATACAAGTAATACATTCCCTCTTATGTCGTAAACTGCATAGCATAATATTCAAATAAATCATATATACATAATTGCAGATGACTTACTTTTGAATTGAAATAATCAAAATAGAAAAGTTATAATTGTTTTGGTTCTTCTGCATTAATATCAATGTGTGATTCAAACAAAAAATTAATTTCAACGATGAGGACTTACAATAATGCGAAAATTGGTCGTTTCAAAATAATTTTATCAGATAAATTAGTTATGCCCATGAACAAAGGACAAAATAATAATTTGTCAAATATAGAATCTATCATTTCCAGCATGGTAGTCTATTGTAAGTAATTTCAGATGGAATTGAGTCACTTTACTTTTTCCCAGTCGAGCGCATCATTTAATAAAATCAGCTCTTTCAAATTCTGTATTTCTTTTATATCAGTAGCGATCCACTTTTACCTATAATAAGTCTTTCAATCGAACCCTTTTGATATTTACATACTAACCCAATACTTTTTTTTGTCAGTTTTGATCAACCCTATTTATTTTATTAAATTTGCTTTGTGACAGAATATTTTATTCCCGTGCCAGGATATGACTACAATTTCAAGTGTTTGGTTTCTTGTATATATGTATATATGATGTAGATATATTTAATATATAATATATTCGATTTTGATTCCAGATTTTCGGTCTTATTCGTCTACGCTGGTCGTTTGAATGATTGCAACTGAATCGAGTAAAAGAAAAAAAAAGATATAAACAAATATGAAAAACAAAAGATATTTATATCTAAACGTAAATAAATATCATATCTACTAATTCGGATCAACGTATTAAAATTGGGTTATTCGGGTTTGGTCGTGAGAAACGTTGTCGATGAATCGAGTGCCGTAGTGTAACTAATCCTAAATGGACTCGTTAGGGCCGGCGAGATCAATTGAGGGCCCCGGGGCCCCCTTTACATGCCTTTGTTTGACTAAGATATACATACTATTTTTACATATTTTTAGTGATGATCAAAATTGGTTTTGGTCTTGCGGTCTTTCAAGACCCTTGCTGCAAGACCAAGACGGTACTGGTCTAGTAAGACCAAAATTAGGCTTGCAAGAACAAGACTAAACCAAAACTGAAGCTGCAAGACCAAGACCAAAACAAGACTATCACTGCAAGACTCTTGTAGTCTTGCAAATTTCTTTTTTTCCCCGAAAACACATTAGTTATCTAGATTTCATTAACTAATAATTTACAACGAAAATAATAAGTAATAATTTTTATTGTTATTAAATTTGATCAGTATTCCAGGAAATGACGAATACTCGGAAAAATGATTAGAAATAATCGGAATTAATATTACAAAATAACATAATATAGTTGTTTCATACTTAGCAATTACTGAAAAAATATTTTTTTCTTGAAATCGATGAAAACGTCGAAAGTTGTCTTGCTCATAGAATAATTCATGACTTATATCCATAAAACATCTCTAATTTGAATCGAATGTACTAATAATTGCTGGAAGTCAATACGAACTACAGTAGATATCATTTTGATTGAAAGTACGTTTTTATTTTCGTTCGTTACATGTGTGATTTTTCCGTATTAGACATTGTGTACTTAAACTAGTGTCTTATAAACCATATAATTTCATTACTGTCGTAAACTTGTGCAGTCTGTTGGTAATACGTCTTGTTAGTTGTTGTTACTGTACCTTTAAAATGAGTGACAATGAATATTTAGTGGACCAAAGCGAGAGTTTAAATGAATTAGAAGATTTAATAGGAACTTACAAAGTTAATTATGCTGGTAAATTGATTTATCAAATACAAATACAAGTAAAATATTATAAACATAATATTTTAAAATGCAAAGTTTTAAACGAGTACCTATAATAAAAATTAAATTTTTTGACTGTTTTATATTATTAATATACTATTTATATAATATATTGGACTTATGTTTCATCTTAGAAGTCATAGCAAAAAACCTACACAGCTATAATAAGTAGATATTTAGTTTCTTTTTTATATTTTGTGAAAATAGCAAGTCTTGCGTAAAACCAAGACCAAGACCAAGATTTTGAAAATATTGTTCTTGGTCTTGTTTTGATCATCACTACATATTTTAGTTCAATAAAAATATTATATAAAAGGCTAAAACGATGACAGGCCCTTTCGGACGTACGGGCCCCGGGGGCTCTAGCACTTCCTGCCTCATCCTTTCACCGACCCTGGGACCCGTACCTCCCTACATATTACGGCTATCGTCTTTGAAGTCGGTCACACCAAGTACTCAAGTATGCTTGTTACGAAATACGCGAGGCGGCACTAACTTCACGGATGGTCCATGTATTCGTTTCGGGTTGTCCATGTCGTCAACACACACGGTACAATAATAGTAGGATATAATATTCCAATATTTGCGGTGGACGTGTCGTGTTTGTAGACGAGGTGGGCAACGACGTAATTTACGATCAAAATTTGTCTTATGATCACGAACGAATCCATGGTGACGTATGGGACGTGAGTTTGCTATGATTTCGTGTTCGTATTTATTTACGAATAAATATCGGATAACAGTTTGTGCATAATTTCAGGAAATATCGACGTTTTCGTTTTAAACGGACGATCGTTGTGCATTTTAACGGAACAATGCCATGTACGGTCAAATTATATTAATTCTATCGAATTTCTCAAGTATACGAGATAAATGAACCGTTACATTGTTTCGGGAAAACTACGTTATTTAGACGATTTAAACCGCTAGATATACAAAACCCCCATATCGGTTATACGATAAAAATCAGTAAATTTCGACTGTCAGATGTTTAAACCCATTTTAAAATTTAAAATAATCGATTGTTGGTTTACAAGATTATTCATGACTCTCTAAAATATGCTGCAACCGATTTGTATCGATTTTTAACTATAACGCGATGATTTTGTATTGTTATTTTTCATTCGTTCTGCTTGACATACCAAATCATATATCTGCTACACGACGCCACTAGATCTAAACGGATATCCGTAATGAGAAAACAATACATTTTTAATAATACTATTCGAACCAATTTCGAATCATCCTATTCTGCTGATCCTTTTATCAAACCTCTTGTGGTTGCTCGCGCGTGAAACCGTTACACTTCCGACGCTTGCCAACGGCCTTCTGGTCAGCCATCCGCGGACTATTCGGATTTTTCTGCTGTACTCATCGGTTCACTCGAGTGCTTTTGTAATGACATTTTCTATGGTAATAGACCCCTATCGTCCCCTGAAAACACGAGTGCGTATACGAAAATCT